TTAATTGTTATGCGCAGCTCTGGTAAATTAGCAAAGTGGTGTAGGGTATCATAAAGTCGGCCCCGCCCGACTTCAAAACTTTCTTTACTGGTTTTATCAATGGCTTAAATTTTATAAACAAATGGTTTGTATTATTTGCTACTTACGACGAATATTTTACTTCATTTATGGCAGATTTGGCTTTCCAATTTTTAGCTGATTTTGTAGGAAATTGAGTCATAAAACTCCAAAGTGGTTGTATGAACATGTACCGGTATATTAAATTTTCAATACAAAACATACTAGGTATAAATTCAACGGTATGGATATATCGACATAGAGTTTTACACTAATTATGGATATACACGTTATTGGGTCTTGGAAAATATTTCAAGGTTTTGCAAATGGAATAAATTTCAAAATAAAAATTTGGTTTCAGACAATCAAAATTTATGTTCAGAAAAACAACGATCTATGTATGGGATGAGCTTATAAAAATATTCCTAAAAAAAAAACAAATAAAAAGGTATCGGTTCGTTTTTGCCGACAGATGTATACCCTCAGCCAATATTCGATTATTTAAAAATACTATTTGACTTCTGTTATGATTATTCAAATGTTTAACCCCTTATGCAGTAGGTTCCGAAGGAATTGGCCAATATTGGTCATTTCGTATCGGACCTAAATAAATATGATATAGATATTGCGACGTTCTATGTTTGGACTGTGTTGTGTTAATAAAAATTTTGGGATGTCAATTTCGCTTTATATCAGCTTAATGAATATTCAAAAATTTGAGCTTTTGTGTGGGAGGTACCCATCTTCACAACGGATCTTTTGCTAATGGAAATAATGGAATGTGTGAAATATAAAGAGAACCTGATGCTTATTTCGGATTTTATAAACGTTTTGGTAATAAGGAATGGTCCGATCACTACCATTTTTTTTTACAAATCCTGTGTTAATAGAAATATGCAGATGTTCCAAGTCTAAATGGAATCCGATGTTAATTTCGCGTTTTATGAGCTTAATGGATATTTAAAATTACGACCTTTTGTGGGGAAGGTACCAGAAGGAGTGGACCGATATATTCCATCTTAACACCAGACGGTGGGTTAATATGAATATTAAGATGTGTGAAATTTTAAGACAATCGGATTTTTACATCACATTTTATAAAACTTATAATTATTCAAAATTGTTACCCGTTGTGAAGGAGGTACTTCATGGAGTGGACCGATATTATCCATTTTTGCACCTGACCTAGAACTAACGCAAATATTAGGATTTCCAAAGTTGGAGCAAACCCGGATTATTTCTTCTTTTTCTGTGCAGGAAAAATATATATTTTTTTTGAAAATTTCGACTTCGTGTGGGGAAGGTACCAGAAGGAGTAGACCGAAATATTCCATCTTAACACTAGACCTTGGGTTAATATAATTTTTTGGATGTGTGAAATTTGAAGACAATCGGATTTTTACATCACATTTAATAAGACTTATAATTATTCAAAATTTTTATGCTTTGTGGAGGAGGTACTTCATGGAGTGGACCGATATTATCCATTTCTGCACCTGACCTAAAACTAACGAAAATATTTGGATTTCCAAAGTTGGAGCAAACCCGGATTATATCCCCTGTTTTTTGTCTGGAATATTTTCCACAGAAATTATTTTAAAATAACTTCTATGACAAAAAACATTTAATTCCTTATTTCCTCTTCTATTGAGCTTACGATCTCGTCACTTGGGTAAAAAATGTTTTTTGTCATAGAAGTTATTTTTAAATAACTTCTGGGGAGAATATCCCAGAGAAAAAACAGGGGAACTGATGAGGATTGGTGGCTCTTTTCGAAACCTAGGTATTCCCTGCCTCACCCCCTGGTAAACATTACCATCGTTCTCCACTAATAAACAAACGTTGTTTTTATACACAATAAAGGGATTAGCCTGACCATTTTGCAACAACAAAATAATATAGTATCCTGAACAAACAAGCCAAACACTGTTCTATATATATATTTTTTTTTAAATTTCGACCTCGTGTGGGATAGGTACCAGAAGGGGTGGACCGATATATTCCATCTTAATATCAGATCGTGGGTTAATATAAAAATTGAGCTGTGTGAAATTTCAAGATAATCGGACTCTTACATCACATTTATGAGTGTTGTAATTATTCTAGATTTTGACCATTTGTGGGGGAGTTACCTGATAGAGTGAACCGATATTGTCCATTTTCACACCGGACCTAGCACTGACGCAAATATTTGAATTTCCAAAGTTGGAACAAACCCGATTTATTGCTTCTCTTTGAAAATTTCGACCTCGTGTGGGGGAGGTACCAGAAGGAGTGACCGATATATTCCATCTTAACACCAGACGGTGGGTTAATATAAATATTGAGATGTATGAAATTTGAAGACAATCGGACTCTTACATCACATTTTATGAGAGTTGGTAATTATTCAAAATTTCGACCTTTTGTGGGGAGGTACTTGATGGAGTGAACCGATATTGTCCATTGTCACACCTGACCCAGCACTGACGCAAATATTAGGATTTGCAAAGTTGAAGCAAAATCGGATTATCCTTTCTCTTTCTGTGCAAAAAATAAATTTTTTGAAAATTTCGACCTTTTGTGGGGGATGTACCAGAAGGAGTGGACCGATATTGCCCATCTCAGAACTCGATCTAAGTTTGATTAAAATATTACGATGTTATCGTGCGCACCAGCCAGCCAGACGGACGGACATCGCTAGATTGACTCCAAATGATCTAAAACGGATTTGGCCCAAAGAGACCAAGGGTCTAAAACCGTTATTTCGACTAGGCACGTTTTGACCGTACCAAATGATATATACCTTCTGTAGCCACATGGCTGAGGGTATAATAAGGAGTATCGGTTTGGTTTGTTATTCTGGAGGGTGTATTAAAGCCTTGGGCAGGCAAACATTTTGGCCGCAGATCTTGGACATTTCAACAGGGCTTAGCACTATCGCACTCAGTACGCGCCACCCATTAATGTTTACAAAATGATGTTCCTTGCTTCATTTCCAGCGCATAAAATGGCCACCAAAATCTCCGGATACCAATCCGTTGGACTATTGTGTCTTGAGTATTTTGGAAAGCAAGTTTGGCACTAAGAAATACCAAAGTGTCGAACACCTCAAGCAAGCGCTTCGCCGGGAATGGGCCAAAATACCGTAGAGCAATATTCAAGCAGCATGTGACGGTTTCATTGGCCGTTTGAAGGCCATAATTCGTGTCAAAGGTGACCAATTCGAACAAAACTTAACTTAAAAGTATGGGGTTTGACTTTGTTGCAGTTTTTTATACCACCCTGTATATATTTGGTCTGATAAAATAGTAATTGGTCTAGTAGTATATCATTTGACCATATTGAACAGGGCAGAATATTGAATATTTTCTCAAAAAAAAAAAAAAAAATCCTTCCGGTTAATAATGGGAAAACTTTCATTCAAATGGCTGTCTCGGCTGGTCGTGCAGTAGTCTACACAAGTGTTCCAATTTTAAACCACCTTATCGCCTCTGGCATGTTGGCGTAACACTATACTTTAACGGCACCCCGTAAATTATAGTTCAGTCCCCTTTGTGGCTGATAATGTGATCTTCATAAACAGCTTCGGCTGTGTAACACATGGGGCTATTTTGTTGTCAATATCCTCCTCTTAAATTTTTGTTAACAAAAAATCGTTCGGCATGGCCCAATAACGATCGCCTTTGACTATAAGGGTCACTTATTGGTAATTTTCGAAAAATGGTTCAATTATGCATCTGGTGCAAAATCCACACTATACACGTTTTGGGTACATTGGCTTTTATATGCATGCGTGCGGGTTTTCTGTGCGACAAATGCGACATACCCGCCAATATTAAAATGAGCTTCATTTGGAAATATGATTTTTTTTTTTGGCAAAATCCGAATCTTTTGCAAGTCGATCGCTGGCTGGCTTCAATTCTAATTGGACTTTATACGGCGTCATTCCGAAGTCATTATGCAAATGTCTCGGAAATGTTTAATTGTGAGAACAATGGAGAACGGAGTTGATGGCGCTTCTGTCGCATTTAATGCCAAAGCAGGTGGTGTTCGCCCTGCTTTTGAATTTTCACGTTTTGATTTATCGACGTGGACTCAAGTCTCTTTCACTTTTTTTAAAAAAATTCACTTCCAAAATTCGTTCGCAATTTTCGTAGAGGTTTTGCAACATTACCATGAGTTTCAAACTTATGTGGCATTATTTCCCAGATTCGTTCAGCGGAAGGATGAAACTTATTATCTTTTAAACCAGACATGAGCTATTTGTTACCATTCACGAAATTTGCATTAGTTGGAAAAAACGTTAGATGGCGGACCCTTTTGGAACCGTTGGGAAGTATCTGAGACAACTTTATGGTATGGAAGACCTCTAATTTCTTTAGACGATCACCCGATCTCTAAAATACCACTTGATTTAGAGAATATTACTCTGTCTTACAGTCGAGTCATAATCTTAAACCCTTCTTTTCCCTTGGTCTTAGTACAATTTAGTACTTTTCGTACAATTAAAGTACACATTTCCAAAACCATCTCCATATCGCAATTCCAGATACCAACAAAGATTTCCGTTCTATTCCTTTTCCCAATACCAAAATTTAGTACCATTTGTCTAGACTCCAAATTAACAATTTTCAGATTTCACTTAAATACCAAACTGTACCTAATATATAGTACGAATAAGTGCGACTTTTCAAAGTTCCTACATAACCCAATTCTGTTTCCCTCGGTCTTAAAGAAGACCATTCTCTATTACACAAGACCACTTTTATGTAGAAGACCACTTGGTCTATTTGGAGTCCATATGGTTTTTACACAATGCCACTTAATATCACAAAAGGCCACACTTCTTAAAAAAAAAAAAAAACTCTTGGTCTGCAAAATTGTCATTGGTGCCTTCATCTTTTTTTCATTGTTAGGTTATTTAAAAAATATTTTTTTTATTTTACATATCCGCAACAATATTATTCTAATTTCCTTCTACGATGGCTTTCACTATTCCTCGCCTCCACATAGGTAATTGTTTCGATCTGCAACATCATTTTCTTTTTACTCGTTAACATTAAGAACGTGTCAAACGTTCCGCTCGGTAAATATGGCGGGAACATTTCCTCATTGTAGTATAAATTCAATAATGAAATTTCTGTGTCCTGCAAAAAGAAAATTCAATCACGTCACATGAACTCAAAGATATTTCCTAATACTCTTACCTTTTTCAATGGACATCGACGTGGTAGATTTTTGATACTTTTTCGTACCTCATTCATGAGAACATCAAAGATGGGATTACTTTTACCCAGAGTATTTTCCAAAATTTGACAGCCATTGATGGTCACATTGTAGACTAGCCAACGTTTTCCATTGCGTTTCCTCGAATCGACTTGATTTATAAATTGAAAATCTCTAATATTTTCAGCAAAGGTGAATGAGCCATTTATGGCATTGTGTTTGTTGAATTTAATTAATTTTAGGGAAACATTTTTCATCAGTTCGGGATTATATTTTGTGGTCAACTTTTTAAAATCCATGTAGAAGGAGCTCTTTTTAATAAGAGGTGAGGAGAAGTAATTAGATATTTGAGTAACATTTACATTAGTTTGTTTTTGCGTACATACCAATCCACCAAATGAAATTCAATGCCAAAACCACCATTCTTGTTAGGAACAATGAGCAAACTGAATTTAACAATCATAATCAATCAGGGGATAATTATTTGCTTTATTTTTTAATTTTCCCAAAAATTAATGTCTACATTTTACAGTTGACTGCACTGAGAAAATATAATTTATTTAAATGGAAAATTTTTATTTAAAGCATGAATTTTATTCACTTTTTAATGAGAACCAAAACGGCTCACTCATTTAGATTGCGTTTGTATTTATTTATACCCTTCAACACTATTTGTGATGGGAGTATTATAAGTTTGATTGGGCAAAAAATTATGTAACACCTCGAAATATTGGTTTCCCCACATAGGAATATATGTATGGTATAGGAAGAACCACTCGCCGAGCTGACTCGATCTAACTATGTATGTCCGTCCGTCTGTCTGTCCATGTTATTTATAATCACTCTACAGGTCGCAATTATGGCCCGATCTTAAATTTAGAATGGAGGTGGGGGCTAGAGCCTATTGCTTTTGGTGATGATGGCATAATATTTAGGGGTTGAAAGAAACCAAAAACAGAAAAAAATTCCTGATCACACAATTGAAGCCAATCGACACGCCTGAGAAGAAAGTTAAGGACAGGGATGAATTCTAACATTTTGGATGACCATTGGATTAAATTTAGCTGTAAAATGAACCACAACAACTAACAGCACGATGGAGTGCGTAAATGTTGAGCAAATGTCCATGGTCAAAAAATTAAGGGTAATATATGAGCTCTATGACATAATTTCAAAAGAGAAATCTTCCAAAATTGATTCGGAAATAAGGGGACTTCTACCATATTGTTGTGTTGTAGGGTATCACATGGTCGGCCCCGCACGTCTATAGCCCAATGTGTGCATTTTCTCGTTATTTTAAGCCGAATGGGATATTTCCTATTTTGGAGAAAAAATCATTGCAGAGATCTGTCTATACCTCCAAATAGTTGGTATTTCTATACTTTTCACCGAAATTATTTTAAATTAGGAATTGCTTCTTCAGCGAAAAGTTCAGGAATTAAGTACTCATTTACAAAACCATTCCATATCTTAATCCACTCGACACCATCAGTTATCGTTATATAAAATTTCACGGTTTCATCTCTATCCCTTCTCCCAATATCAAAACTACATAGTTCAATTTAGTTTTTTTTTCCGAATAACTAAAATATCAAAATTCAGAATTTTATTTCTATGCAACGAAATACCAAATTTGATACTTCTTAGTACTTTTCGTACAATTATAGCAAACATTTTCAAAACCGCCTCCATACACCAAGTCCAGATACCAACAGAGATCTCTATAACAAATTTCGGGATTCCCTTTACCCAATACCAAATGTTGTACTACTTAGTACTTTTAGTACAATTATAGGACACATTTCCAAAACCATCTCTATATCTCAATTCCAGAGACCTCAATATAATATTGGAGGATTCAAGTTCTGTTTCCTCAGCCAATACGAAATTCAGTACCATTTAGTAGTTTTCGTAAAAAAATATAGGACGCATTTCAAAACCACCGCCAAATCTCGATTTTCGATTCAATTATAGTACACATTTCCGAAATCATCCTCCACATCAACAGAGAGCCTAATACCAAATTGTACCAAATATAGTACCAATACCAATTTAGTACCACTAAGTACTTTTCGTTATTGTACACAATTCCAAAACCATCCCCATATATCAATTCCAGATACCAACAGAGAGGTCTGTATCAATTTTCAAGATTTCAGCTCTATTTCTTCTCCCAATACCAATTTTAGTACTACAATTATCCTACGTATTTTATTTTCGAAAAATTATGCTACGTATTTCCAAAACCATCACCAATAGTGACATCCATACCAAATTTCAGGTTTTCATCTATATCCCTTCACCCAATACCATAGTTAGTACTAATTTACTTTCCGTACAATTATAGTACAACATAGACCTCAATATCAAATTTAAATATTCCAGTTTTATTCCTTCAAGTAATACCAAATGTAATACTTTTTAGTACTTTTCGTACAATTATAGTACACTTTTTCGAAACCACCCCTAAATGTCCAGGCAACCTTATAAAAAATTTCAGATTTCAAACACAATCCGTTCACCTAATACTAAATTGTACCATATATAGTACTACTCGTACAATTATGGTACACATTTCAAAACCATTACCACATTTCAATTTTAGATACAAACAGAGGCCTAAATATCAAATTTGAGTATTCCAGTTCATCCAATACTAAAATTTTGTACCATTTAGTACTTTTCGTACAAATCTCAAACACATATACCATCAGTAATCCAAATATCCAATTTCAGAATTTTATCTCCATCCCTTTACCCGATAACCAATTTAGTACCATTCAGCACTTTTTGTAGAATTGTAGTAAACATTTCCGAAACCATCTCCATTTGTAGAGGCACCACATGAACAGCGATCCTAATTTCAAATTTCCGATTTCAAACCTAATTAAAAATTGTACCAAATATGGTAATAATTAGTACGTTCATTTCACCAAAATCCAAATTGTACCAAATTTAGTACCATTTTGTACTTATGTACAAATTTAGAGAACTACCTCCATATCCCAATCCTACACTCCGCCAATAATGTTTATTTCTAATTTCAAGCATCCAGCTCCATCCGTTACTCCAAATTAAAATTGTACCAACATTTCGTAAATTTTAGTACGTACAGGCACCGGTTCCCATAACAACCTACATTATGCAATCCAATAGAATTTTTCATTCTAAATTGCCCGATTCCAACTCTATCGGTTCTCCCAAAATTTCTACAATGCAATAATAATTTTATTTCACGGAATTCGGTTCTCCCAAATATAGTACCATTTAGTACTTTTTGTACACATGAGAAGAAATTTCGAAAACTATCTACGTACCCCAATCCTACAATTTTATATTAATGTTATTTCCTAATTTCAGGTTTCCATTCTACTGGCTCTTACAAAATTGAAATTGTAAAAAGTTTAGTACCTCTTAGTACTTTTCATGTACATATTAAAATAACATTTCGAAAACCACCCCCATATCCCAATTCTACACTTCGCCAATAATGTTTATTTTAAACTTCAGAATTCCAGCTCCATCCGTTACTCCAAATTCAAATTGTATCAAATTTAGTCCCATTTAGTACTTTTCGTATACATGAGAACACACTTCCAAAACTATCTTCTTACATCGACCCTACTCCTCAACCTTGCTTACCATTCCAAATACCATTTTTAGTTCTAACCGTTCACATGATACGAAATGGTACTTGTAAACTTATAGTGGGAATATCCCAAAACTCCTTTTGGTACATCCATCATACACTTTATCATAGATCCTCGCTCTAAAGGTTCGTCAAATGCATAGAAACCATATGTAGTACTTTTTAGTACTTTTCGTACCTTTCTAGTGCGAATTTCCAAAAACCCAACCTTATATGACATCTTCGGGCCAAGAGTGACCCAAACCTTCAAGATTCTAGCATAAACTGTTCGGAGTTCGTAATGAAGTTCATTATTGCCATTGCCTTTTATGATAGAAAACTGCATCTCCCTATATTCGGTATTTTGATGAATTTGTCCACACACTTTAATACATTTATTTGAAATTCAAAATTTAGAGTTGAAAATGGGTCCAGATTCCGAAGACAGAAAATTTTCTGTACAGATCTACACCTTTGTATAGCCCCATATTTTTGTATTTGGCGGAAATCATATTTTTTCACCGGAATTGTTTCAAATTACGTACTTAGAGTTTCTGATGGCAACTACTTCCTATAACAGAATATTGCCTAAATAGATCTACGTCTTTGTATAACCTCCTGACATTCGATATTGTATGTCCCGATATTCGGTATTATCACGACTTTAACCACATTTTTCACCGAAATTGTTTCAAAATTAGTATTTGGACTACCTCATAAGACAGAAAATTGCCTAAACAGGTCAATGTCTTCGTATAGCCCCCATATAATTTAACCTCCTGCTATTTGGTATTTTCACGATTTTTACCACATTTTTAACGGAATTGTTTCACATCTAGAATTTATAGTTCGCAATGGACACTTCTTCCTGTACAGGGTCCACGCCTTCGGATATCGACGATATAACCTTCCAATATTCTGTATTTTTCCAATTTTTGACACATTTCTCAACGGGATTATCCTAAAATTGATATTTGTGGTTCGCAATATGCCTTCCCTGGCAGATAATTGACTTTAGAGACTCAAGCTTTCGAATATCCCCTTTATGACTGTATCATCCGATACTCGATATTTTTATAATTTTAGAGTAATTTTTTCAACGTTTCTTTCGAAATAGTTGCTTGTTTTACTTGTTTGATATTAATTATTTTTTATGAAACCATTTCGTTTCAGCAGTACCCTCTGATGTTCGTGGAGTGCTTTGTGGAATCTGTTGTAACTCTTTAGGATAATTTGATCTTCTACAGAACAACTGTCTTTTGTGAAGACAACTTGGCTTAAAATTCCTCGTATTTTAACGTATATGTTCCTGCCGTTTGGTACAAATCGATTGGTTTATTGATTTTTAATTTCATATAAATCCAATTATTCTCAGTCAAAATTTGCAGATATTATAAACAAATTTTGAAAATAATTTTCTAGGAAAAGTAATTAACTCTAGATTGATTAGGGTTTTTTTTCCTAATTTTCTTCCCACACTTTGATTCAAACCGAAAACATGACTAAGGTATGGACTTTAAATATTTTCATTATTTTAAACTTTACAACAAACATTTTTGGATGGGTATGTATGTTTTGAATTGAATTTATTTCTTATAATATATGAAGATTCTATATATGTCAGCGCTCTTTTTATATGAATTTTGAAAAATTAACCATAGAACATGATGAAGAATTTGTGAAAAGTGTATCATTCAAATTGATTGCTTCGAATCGGCATAATGCCATAAATGGTTCTTTTGTATTTGCCGAAGACATCAATGAGTTTCAGATTTCAAATCGTATCGTATCACGAAAACTCAATGGAAGATATTGGCAGTTGTATAATGTGTCCATCAATGGTTGCCATTTGTTAGACAATTCTATGGGGAAAAGGAATCCCATTTTTGATGTAGTTATGAAAGAAGTTCGGAAGAGCATCAGAAATCTACCCAACCGATGTCCCATGAAAAAGGTAAGGATTTTGATTTATCTGAAGACATTGAATTTTGATTTGTCTTCTTTATATAGCACACGAAAATTTCCGTATTGGATTTTCACTACAATGAGGAATTATTTCCACCCTATATGCCGAGCGGAACATTCGACAGTTGGTTTATGTTATCGTCTAAAAAGAAACTGCTTATGAAGATATTCACAAGCACCGAAATTGAGGCGAGGAACAGTGAAAAATATCGCAGGAGAAAACTTTAATGAAAATTCTTGGAAAAAATATAATTTCGATATTTTGTATTTAGATCGATTCGAACTCTCTCAATACCATAACAAAAGTTGCGGGACTGAAACCTATAAGGTATTTTATATACTACTTTGATTTCGCTGAGACAACTTTGTCTTCTTAGAATGTTTTGAATTCAAAACATAAACTGGGTCTACATCTACAAGCACAGGTCCGGTTTGATGTCTACTCGATTTTCTTTAAGAACTTTTGAACTTCAGAGGACCGCTTAGATCGCTTGGTTTTCTACAGGAGCACATGGGCTTCTAGATACTCCTTTGGCTCGTATAATATCATTTGTGCTTTTGTTGTCCTCTTCAATGAAGGCGACCACGACGCCTTCAATATCAATTGATGATTTGGAAAACAAACAGGCCAGTTATAGAACAGATACTTGATCTTTTCTATGAGCCTTCGTTGTTTCGCAAGATCCTTGGTCTTATTTTCGACAACTTGTTCTTCATGTTCTTAAGGTGTGAATACATAAACAGCTTGAAGACTTCGCATGGCATATTTTGTGACATATCATAAAAGGATGACAGAGCCGCACTCGAATCCTACCGTCGTTTCCTATTATGTACCCCCACCTTTATTTTCTGTAAGACAAAAATCTCTCAGGCAAATACAGGGTTAAGTAAAAAACTGCAACAAATCAAACGTCATTATTTTTACATGTTTTTTAATTTTATTAAATGGAGTCAAAAAAATATCGGAAATAGCATAAAATTTTAGAATAAGTTTAGATTTGCTCGAATTGGTCAACTCTGGCACGAATTATGGCCTTCAAACGGCCAAAGAAACCCGAATGTTGCTCTGCGGTATTTTGGCCCATTCCCGACGAAGCGCTTGCCTGAGGTGATCGATACTTTGGTATTTTTTAGTGCCAACCTTGCTTTCCAAAACACTCCAGACACAATAGCCCAACGGATTGGTATCCGGAGATTTTGGTGGCTATTGTGCGCAGGAAATGAAGCGAGGAACCATTCTTAGGTGGCGCGTGCTGCGTGCGATGGTGCTGAGTCTTGTTGGAATTAGCAAGGTCTGCGGCCAAAATGTTTGCGTGCCCAAGGCTTTAATACACCCTCCAGAATATTTTCGCGATAATATTCGGAATTTATTCTGATGCCACGGTCGATTAATACGAGCGGAGAGCGACCATCCGCTGTTATGGCGGCCCACACCATCACCATGGCCGGCACTTGAGTTCTGGTGGCCAACCGAAGGTGCACATTTTCAGCTGACCTCTTTGGCAAGTAAACACGATAATTTTGCTGGACAACGAATATTTTCTCATCGAAGAAACCCAAATTCGGTAGTTCACCACTTTCGGCCAAGCGTAGCTCCTTTGAGTCTATTTTCTTTCTGTTGCGGTGTAAGTTCTTGCACTTCTTCTTATTTCAATGGCTTTACCCCGAGCTGATTTTTCAATATTTGCCGAATGGAATATTGCGATATATTCAGCTCACGAGCCATTTTTCGGTCACTGCGGGTTTCGATTAACTTTTCTAACTATTTCTGCTGATGTTGCTGTTTTCTTCCGTCCACTTCCTTGACGTCGGGCTACGCTACCGGTATCACGATAACGAGCGAGGGTACGAGACTCAAAAGATTTATTCACATTTAAATGCTGGAGAGCTCTAACGATAGCCACTTGTGGTTTTCAAGTCAAATATAAGAAATCTCACGCCTGAATTCCATCACGAATAAGTTTTTTTCTATAAGATTCTCACCAAAATGCTTTTGTACGCTTGTGCACAATATAATGAGCTGTCACTGCAATAATTTTAAAAACTGTCGGACAAGTGGTTTGGAAATGATAGCAGTCTGAAATTGGCTGCGGGGTTTCATCACATAAAAGAGTAAAGTAATTGGCTATTGACTTAACGATTCATCAACGAACAGACGAACCGGCTGAAGCTAGAAACTTGAAATTTTTGGTGAGGGTCACCCTTCGTCCGAAGGGGTCAGATACGCCAGGGTTTTGGAAATTCATATTAGAACGGTACGAAAAGTATTAAAAGGTATTAAATATGGGACCATTTGTATTTGTTGAAGCAGTAGAGCTAGATCTCTTGAATTTGAAATGAGGGTCACTGATGGAGTGTATGATAGATGTACCAAAGGGTTCTTGGAAATTCGCACTATAAATGTATGAAAGGTACTGAAATGTACTAAATTTGGTCATGTGATTGGTTTGAGTTAAAAACTTGACATTCGGAATGGAAGTCAAGGTTGAGCATTAGAATCGATTCAAGGAGGTAGTTTTGAAAATATGTACTCATGTATACGAAAAGCTGGAATCCTGAAGTTTAATATTATCATTACTGACTGATTGTTGGATTGGGATATGAAGGTACTTTTCGAAATTTTTTGCTTATATACACGAAAAATACCAAGTGGTACTAAATTTTATACAATTTTGATTTTGGTAAACTGACAGAGCTGGAATGCTAAAATTTGGAAATACGATTGCTATTGCATTGTAGGACTAAGGTATTTAGGTAGTTCTGGAAATTTGTACTTATGTGTACTAAATAGTACAAAATTTGGTATAATTTCGATTTTTGCAAAACGTGAAATTTGAAAATTAGGTTATTATAACATTGCACGATTGGGATATGTTGGACGTTTTTTTTTAGTTTTGTGTACTAAATGGTACAAAATTTGGTACAATTTATATTTTGGGAGAACCGATAATGTTGGAATCCTGAAGTTTGGAAATGAGATTTCTATTGGATTGTATGATGTAGATAGTTAGGGGAATTTTTACTTATATGCTACTTAAAAAAATTTAAAAAAATGATACTAAAATGAACTAAATTTGGTACAATTTGGATTTGAGCTGAAAACCTGAAATTTAGAAATAAAATTACAATAGCATTGTATAATTGGGTTATGTAAGAACTTTTGGAAATTTGTATTTATGCGTACTAAATGGTACTTTATGTTGTACAATTTGGTATTGGGTGACCAATTTGAAATCTGAAATTTGGTATTAGTGGCGCTGTTCATAAGTAGCCTGGAGGTGGTATTATAAAATGTACTATAATTGTCAGAAAAGTACAGAATGGTAATATATTTGGTATTTGGTGAGGGATGGAGAGACAAATTTGAAATTTTACTGATGGTATCTGAGTTTCAGATTTGCCGGTGTTTTGAAATATGTCCCAAATTTTGCACAAAAACTACTACATGGTACGAAATTTGGTACTGAGTGAGGGGAGAAAGCTGAAATCCTCAGAGTTGATATTGAGATCTTTGTATGTATTTGAAATTGAGATATGGAGGAGGTTTATGAAAATGGGTACTATAATTGTTCAAAAAGTACTAAATGATACAAAATTTAGTTTTGGTTGAGGGGATAGAGCTGTAATTTCAAAATTTGTTGGTATCTAAGGTAGAGATTTCGGACGAGTTTAGAAATGCCTTCTATATTTGTAGGAAAAGTACAAAATTGTACTATGTTTGGTATTGGGAGAAGGAATAGAGCAGAAATCCTGCAATTTATATAGTGGTTAAGACATTAAGGTTGTTTTGGAAATATGTCCTATATTTGCACGAAAAGATCAAAGGAGTGCCAAATTGGGTATTGGGTGAAGGGATAGAGCTGGAATCCCAAAGTTTGATATTGAGGTCTCTGTAAGCATCTGGGATTGAGATATTGAGGTGGTTTTGGAAATGAGAAATATAATGGCACGAAATGGTTCTAAATTTGGTAATGGGGGAAATTACAGAGCTTAAATCCTAAAATTTGATATTAAGGTTACTGTGGGTAATCGAGGTTGAAAATTGGACGTGGGTTTAGAAATGTGCCCTATATTTGTACGAAAAGTACAAAGTTGAACTAAATTTTGTATTAGGTCAAGGGATAGCTATAATTGTTGGAAAAGTACTAAGTTGTATTTAATTAGGTATAAGTTGAAGGGGAAATTGACTGTTGAAATGAATTTAATATTCTAAAGGTGCACTGGTGTTTTTCTGAACCTGCTAATTGAGCCTTTTTTTATACCCTCCACCATACTATGGAGGGTATATTAATTTTGTCATTCCGTTTGTAACTCCTCGAAATATTCATGTCAGACCCAACAAAGTATATATATTCTTCATCAGCGTAAAATTCTAAGACGATTTAGCCATGTCCGTCTGTCTGTCTGTCTGTCCGTCTGTCTTTCTGTTGTAATCTTTCGAACAAATTGAGATAGAAGGCTAAAATTTTGTACACATGTATTTTTTCCCAGTAGGCAGGTTAAGTTCGTAAATGGGCCATGTAGGTTCAAGTTATCATATAGCCCCCATATAACGGTACCTCCCGATATTCGGTATTTTGATGACTTTAGCGACATTATTCACCGGAATTATTTCAAATTTGGCATTTGAAGTTTGCAACGGATGCTACAGCCTAAGACAGAAAATTATCTGTGCAGGTCCACGTATTCCTGTAGCCACCATATAACGGTACCCCCCGATATTCGGTTTTTGATGATTTTAGCGACATTGTTTACCGGAATCGTTTCAAATTTGGTATTTGAAGTTCGTAATGGATACTACATCCTAAATCAAAAAATGAGCCATGTAGGTCCACGTCTTCATATAGCCCCCATATAACGTTACCCCCCGATATTCGGTATTTTGATGATTTTAGCGACATTGTTTACCGGAATTGTTTCAAATTTGGTATTTGAAGTTCGTAATGGATACTTCATCCAAAGTCAAAGAATGATCCATGTAGGTCCACGTCTTCATATAGCCCCCATATAACGGTACCCCCCGATATTCGGTATTTTAATGATTTTAGCGACGTTATTTACAGGGATTGTTTCAAATTCCGTGTGTGAAGTTCGTAATGGATACTTCAGCCCATGCCAGAAAATTGTCTGTGCAGGTCCACATCTTCGTATAGCCCCCATATAACGGTACCCCCCATATTCGGTATTTTGACGATTTTAGCTACATTATAAACAGATTTTTCTTCAAGTTT